GTGACAATAGTGTCGGATCTAGCGTCACAGACTGTATCAAGGGATACTTTCCCGATCCAGCTCCGAACTGGAAGAAGACGGCGAGCCACACAAAAAGACGTGGTTCAAATCGTTCGCTGTAAGTTAATTTAGTTTGTTAATTTATTTTTAATTATTTTAAATTATTAATATAATTGAACTAATCCGTCTTTTATTTTTTCTGCTTACAGCAAAAGTATCGCTGGTCTATTGGGATTCACGAGCGAGTGAAGAAGGAGTTTGAGATCAAGGCAAAAGCACGATTGCTCGACACGGTCTACAATTGGAAGGGCGACTATGAGGTATTGATTTATAAATTATAATATATATATATATATATATATATATATATAGTTTAAAAAATATTATATATTGACTTTAATGATCTAATATTTTTTTTTAATCAGGTGGATGGTTACGAGGCTGGGAAACCCGATTGCCTCACAACCACGGTGTGGGATGGCCTCATCAGCTATTGGACGTTGCCGGACTCGGTCAGAACGTCCAACACAAACTCCGGGAACCGCATGACCAAGGATGAGCATGGCAACACGAAGGTGCTTCACACCACGGGTCGAAAACCTCACGGGGGAGTTCGTCTTGACATGGTAAGATGATTTTTAATATCAATTAACTTAATTTTTATTTTATTTGAATATATTCTAAATTAATATTTAATTTTATAAATTAATTTTAGGCTAAGGAGACAGAAGTTCTTCCATCTCTGAAAGACCTGTACGAGAGGACCCACCGGAACAAGGCTGGGCAGTTTGTAGATCCTGCTTCGGAGAGGATCTACAACGAGCTTGTTGTCCGAGTTGACGAGCGCCAGACCCAGCTGACTCAGCAGACTGGGTCTCCAGTCATATTATCCACTGTTGACGTGGATAAGATTTACGAGGAGGTAAATAATTTGTTTTACTATTAATTTTTAATATTTTTTAAATTTTTCTTAATGTTATTAATATTTTTATTTTTAGGTCGCCCCTAGGAAAAAGGGGTGTATCATCGGGATTGGCTCGGTTAACGATGTCCATGCAGCGACATCGTTTTATCATCAGGAGCAGCAAGATGTCAATGATCAGCTGCGCTCGCAGTTGGAGGCGACGCAGTCTCAAGTGACTTCGCTCACCGATGATCTCACTTCTCTCACCAATATCCTCGACATTATGGCGGTTGGAAACCCGCAAGTGCAGGAGCTGTTGCGTCAGAGACGGGAACGTGCAGGGATTCCAAGTACCCAACATCCTCCGCCATCACAGTCACAGTCGGCAACCAACTATGGAGAGGATTTGCCGAGCCAGGACGACGTTTTGTTCAGTCAGCAATTTCACGACCAGCATCCGTAGTTTCTTTTATTTTTATTTGTATATTATGAATTTAAAAACTTATTGTATATTATCTAGTTATTTATAAAATATTTTGTTTTTTTATTTTTATTTATAATCTGATTTTTTTTATTTTTAAAAAATAAATTAATTATTTGTAATTATTTTTTTAATAGGAAAAAAACATTTCCAAGCAAAATCCTCGTAAAATATTCCAAGTAATATCCTCGTAAAAAGTTCTAGTTATTTCCTCGTAATGTTTCACTACGACCTTACGAGGAAATGTTTACTACGAGCTTACGAGGAAAGCTTCCGAGGACCTNTAATTATTTTTTTAATAGGAAAAAAACATTTCCAAGCAAAATCCTCGTAAAATATTCCAAGTAATATCCTCGTAAAAAGTTCTAGTTATTTCCTCGTAATGTTTCACTACGACCTTACGAGGAAATGTTTACTACGAGCTTACGAGGAAAGCTTCCGAGGACCTTACGAGGAAAATATTACCACGCCTTTACGAGGAAATATTTCCTCGTAAATTCGCTACGACCTTACGAGGAAAATGGCTTTACGATGAACGTGTTTCGAGGAAACGCGTTTCCTCGTAAGTTCCTAGTAAAAGGTCATTTACTAGGAACTAACGAGGAAAACCCGTCCTAGTAATAGACGAGTTTTCTTGTAGTGGTTGAAACAGCCAAACCCCAATATTTTAACCTTCTTGCTTAGTCCATCTCCTAAGAAAACTTTATCCATAAAAAAAAACTTACTCTTTCTGGTGACCAGGTTTCGGGTGTGACGCACCCTTATCTTCAGTTTGCTTGATGCCATCTCCATATCGAACACCAGGTTTAGTTGTAGCTCTTTTGCGCAGAGAGAGAAGAGCCTTTGCAATCCTCACCTTGGTACTTCCTGCTGTGGTAATGGAAGCCTTAGAGTATCTCCAATGTAAAACTCCATTTTTTCCTTCAAAATGGAGTAAAAGTGTTTATGGAGTGAAAATGCTCCAACCTCACTCTATTTCCAACTCCATAATGGAGTAGTGAATAAAGAAAAAATAGATTACTCCATGTATGGAGTAAATCTCATTATGGAGTAAGATATGGAGTGAGATTAGAGTATTTTTTACTCCATAATCATTTTTATTCCATTTTGAAGTAAACAACCTTTTTTGAGCACCCTGATCTGTCAACTTATCTCCTGCAGCTTGGCCCGTTTCCTCTGCCGCATCACCCTGTTCCTTATCGTCCACCACGTCCATCCCGACCTCCAGATTCTTGTTTCCCTCCTCAGATCCTCCTCCTGGAGACAGACCCTGTTGAGTCCTATATCATTTTATCTTTTTTTCTCTATATCATTTTAAATTTATATTTATCTCTCACCTCTGTACTGTTTCTTTCTTTTTCTTTGTCTATAATTTTTCTTTTTAAGATTAATGCAGGGCAACAAATAAGATTACATTAGTATAGACAACGATCATAACGTATCAGATTGTGGCACATCTTTTACGCATGAGGCAATTTTGAAGATAGCGGCGGGGAATCCATAGACATATTTTCTTCTGTTATTTTGAGAATCTATCAATGGCAGTCATAAGTAGGCCGGGCATAAAATTGTAACCCGAATTCCAAACCAAACCTAAACCAAAAAATCTGATCGATACCCAATTTGAAATATTAAAAATACCTGAATGGGTTTTATAAAGTGTTACAAAACATATCCGAACCCGAAGTATTATTACCGAATCTGAATGGATAATCCAAAAAAAAACCGAAAAACAGAAAAAATCCAAAAAATATCCGAAAAATCGATCCACATGCCTAAATTAATATATAATATAAATATATGAAAAATAAATATATACTTTAAATATTCAATTTCATATTTATTTTGATATGATATCTAACAACACATATTTCAAATCTAAATAAATACCTTAAATACTCAATTCTATATAAATAAGCATATATTTTTTATTTTTTGGTTTTAAATTTTAGATTTTACTTTGGGTATACCCGAACCGATCCAATAGAACGATATATGATTACTTTATGGGTTCTAGGATGTGATACAAAATCAACCTAAAACTGATGTATTATATCCGAACCCGACCCGTACTTGAAAATTTACTAGAAGAGACCTAGGAGGTGTTATAAAATAGAACGGAAATCCAAAAAATCCGATCCGAATGCCAACAGGTACCCGAACGCCCAAGCCTAGTCACAACCAATATCATTTACTGGTCTTTAAGACAAACTTATTCTTCGTCCCATGATTTAAACATGTTTTTAAGAAGAAAAGGTGGAGATGATTTATTCTATTTATTACCTTTTGCTGTATAAAATGCTATGTACCTTTTATTTTTTAATAGTGCTTTATAACTTTTCTACCTTTTCTTTGTCTAAGATTCTTATTTTAGATTAGTGCTATGTCAACGAAGAAGAATACATCAGCATAGACATCGTCAATAACCAACCAGATTACGGTGGAGAATCCGTAGATTAATTTGTTTTTGTTGCTTTGGGAATCGGTCAACGGCGACCACAACCCACAAGATTTTGTGGTGGTTACGTGATGCAATCCTTACTGAAGGAGTTATGACGAGCTGGATAGAGCTGACAGTGCCCAAGAAGCTGGAAAGGAGCTGATGGTAAGTAACACTACCAAGGAGTTTGATGAGCTGAACCAGCTGAGTGACACTGAAGAAGAGAAGGATGAGCTGAACCAGCTGAGCGATAATATTAACGTGATGGATCAAGCTGGAAGGGAAGAAATTCAGCCCAACTCTGTATCAGATGGCCTTTTTCAGCCCAAAAGAGATCAAATATACAAGTTAAAGATCCAATATTCTTGCTGATGGGCCAGTCACGAAATTCAAGTCCAAAAACAAAGAGAAGCAATTGTTTACTTGGTTTATTCTGAACCAGAGCTAAACCAGACAAAAATAAAGTCAAGGATTCAACCCAATTCTTCAAAGATTCAGTCTTCCGTCTTGCTTTGTTTCTTCCTTCAAAGATCCCCCATCATCATTCCTTAGAAATCACACTCATTCTTAACAAGTTGTACTCTTAGAATCAATCTTTGTCGAAATTCATAAGAACGAACTCTATGTGGTGACAATTTTCAGTGCACTATCTTTACAAGCCGGTGAAAGTCATAGTTACGTGGATGTATTGTTCGAGAGAAACAGAACCTTTATAGCTTTTTGGAAGAACATGATAATGGTCAAGTGGAAAATCAAGGAGAGTAGTGATGGTTTCTTAATGAACGTTATCAAAGACAATCATGCGGAAGTCCTAACTGTTATATCTGATATTTCTTTTCTGCGACAGTTAGTTAGTGTATCCACTTGGCTCTGTTCCAGTTTATGTATTAACTGAAGGAGAGGACTCTATGATTTTATGGCCCTTATTAGCTCTTACGACTTTGATGAGAATACTGGGATACTCTTTATTAGGAGTCACATAAGGATAATGACACATTATACGATTTCCATTATTCTTTAGGATAATTACCATATTGTGTTTAGGATATTTTCCAGTTCTTATGCTATCATTCGTGTATATATACGATGTAAGGTCAATACCTAAGTCAATAAGAAAGTAAAGTTCTCAAGATCACAATATTCTACATGGTATCAGAGCAGAAATTTTTCTGAGACCTAAATTGTTGATCGTGAAGAAGTTGTTAGGTTTTCAAGTCCGAAAACTCGACCAGAAGTTATGGTTACAGGAGAAGAGTCCGCCATGTCTGGAACCTCAACTCCTATGGTTAAAGGTGTTGAAGCCACA